TGAAGAACCTGGAAGTGTCCATCCGGAACCTGGAATGGGAATCCTCCAACGTTCTAAGACACTTACGACCCAGAAAAATCAAAGATTTTCTTTGATTTAAGTTAGAACAATCTTGAAACTAAAAGATTTTCGGACTTCCATTGTCTTTGCTTACACAACGTTTCGATCAGAAGTATCACTGACCATGATTGTTACCCACTAAAACAATCCACCTCCAAGGAACCAGTTGCCGAAGTATGGTCAGCTATTATTCCTGCTGATATTGGGGAGAAACTAACTAAATTAAATCCTAAAACTACTGAGCTTATATACTAGAGCCGAGCATTCACCCTTGAATTAGTTGAGTACAGTCAAGCATGAGGTTGTCCACTAAGAATACCTACATTGGAGCGTTTTATGAGTGGTTGCTATATTGCTGAAATTTCCATATTTGAATTTTTAAAGATTTTATTATTGTTAGACATGAATACGGCCTTTTCGAATTTCTTTCATGCTTGGCTGCACCTAACTAATTTACGGGTGAATCCTCGGCTCTAGTATATAAGATCAGTTGATAACGGTCAGTGATACATCTGACTCAAACGTTTAAAAAAGTTATAATAATTATTTATTAACACAACCAAACCAAACCTCCGATACGCCACTGATGTAGGTAAATCAACTTCACGTATCTAAATTATTTGACAAGTAGTAAATAAAAACAAAAATGCAAGAAAAAATATGTAATTAGTTAATTTTAAGTGAATTTCATAAATGATCGGTTTACTACACGTATGTATATTATACAAGATGAGTCTTAAATAAGTGCAAATATTTTCAGGGGTGGTATATTTCGACCCAAGGAACACGTCTTTGAGTTTTTCTCCAAAAAAAAAGATGTTGAAAATCGTGCATTTTCTTTTAAATTTCCCTGTATATTTTTCGAAAACTTTTTAGAACTGCCAGTTCACCGCAAATTTTCCCACGGTATAATTTCTTAATCTCTGATATTACCATACTTACAGCTTTACTTCATGGTTACGGCACTAAAAGGGATGCAAATACAGAAAAAATCCGGTGGCTCTCAACATTTTTTCAAAAAAAAAATCAATTTTTTTAAATTTTCAAACTTAAATAACTTGGTTATTTTGAGCTTATCTGAAAAATGGTAAAGAGAAAACATGTTTCTTTTATCGAGATCTACCAGCCCTGAAAGTATTTGCACTTATTTAAGACTCACCCTGTATAGTCACTTACTAGTGAAAAGTTATTCCATGATTCCCTTCGAGTTTTGACCGGGATCTACCGCACGCTACACACACAACCAACTATTTTACAGTCTTTTTTGATAAATCCCAATGTTGTATGTTGTACATAAATAAATAACCCATAATAACGCATAGAATAATTTTCATAATAGACTAGTTTTTGTCAATATGTAATGATTAAAATATAATTGGTTATACCAACAAAAATAATTTAGTACTACTCTAGATTCACTTATTTCTCTGACGGTATAACCGAGCTAGTATCAGTTTCGAAGAAGAAGCAATAGAAGGAAAGCGTCCATCGGGATTAGAGAAATATTTAGTTTCTGGACTGGGAAAAAGTTTCAATTTCTCGTATCTGAGCTCGCCAGACACACAATAACTGGGTTTATGGGCTGTGAAACTTTTTCAATAACGCCGGCCGATCTCGGGAATTAAACTCGCGAGACCCGCCCTTATTAAAATTATGAGGGTCAGAATGCTTTTCTCCGTTTTTTCTTCTTTGTTTCAAATGGTTTTTTTTCGGAGAGGGTTATTTTAAGATATTTAACTATTAACCTACCTCTGGAATATTTACCGATTCTCTTTTATACACTCAGATCCAAAAAACCTATTTTCTTGAATTTTTTAGCAAGCTGTATGTTAATTATATCAACTTTACTTCGTTAACTCAGTTTTCTATAAACTTTAGTATTTGGCATATTATACAGGGTTAATCGGGGGTTATTTTTTTGCCTTAACTTTAAAACACCCTGTGCAATAATTCCGTGTGTAAATTTTCCTAAAATATAATTTTACGATCAGAACCATGACTCCTGAGTATTTTGTTTTTTGCTTCATGTCAATACATCACCATCAATTTGCAATTTTTTTATTTATTATTACTTTTCGATGTGATTTTTTAACATGACGAGATAGTTTTGGTGGCTATTGTCGTCACAGTATAATAAGCTGCATTGGATAAACTATACTAAATAAAAAAAAACATTAAAGACTAACGATACAGCCCGGGTTTTAATAAACATTAATAATGATAACAGAACTAACAATATTAAAGAAAATATGTACTCAAGTATACAAACAGAAAAAAGTAAAAAATACCCTAATACTTTGTATTGCTGCCCTTGGCTACTATAACTACCTGTATACGTCCGTTCATAAAGTCATTGAGGCTGCATATATCATATTGCGTTATCTTTTCCCATTCTTCTTCAAGGACCAAGCGAAGTTCATTTAATGAAGCTGGTACTGCTTCGCGACCTCCTGTCAAGCATTTCCCAAACGTCGAACATGATGGGCAATAATTCATAGTAGTATATAGTTCAGAATAATAACCAAAGCCGCCTTGTCACATTGAACAATAACTTCAAAAAGAAATGATAATTGAAAAAAATGCAAATTGTTGGTGGCAAGTTCACTTCGCTCTTAAAAATTAACCAATTAAGGCATGTATTGACATGATCCAAAAAACAAAATGCTCAGGAGACATAGTTCTCGTCGTATACGTATATAAATAAAGTATATTTTAGGAAAATGTACACACAAAATTATTGCACAGGGTGTTTTAAAGTTAGGGTAAAAAACCACCCCTCGATTAACCCTGTATAATATGCCAAATACTAAAGTTTATATAAAACTGAGTTTACGAATTAAAGTTGATATAATCCTTGCAAAGAAAAAAAAAGAAAAGAAGCTTGCAAATTCATAAAAATAGGACTAAAATTAACAAAAATATAACACTTTATATTTAGCCAACAATTTCTCTATTGCATTTTTTTTGCGAGTGTATATTTAGTATACTATTATGTGGAACTACCGTTACACAGAAGCAAGTGTTTTATCTATATGCGTGTCTCCATCTCAATTTCTTGTTTTCAATGAGAAGATGAAAATATATCAGGCACCCTACTAGAGCAATATGTACCAGCGAGTTGGATTCGCTACAAAAAAAAGTGGCCACCAACTAAAAAATCCTCCTCTAACTACTACTCTACACCAGAGTCCGCTCTCGCAATGCTTCAGTGCAAAAAGTGTTTAAATTTACTTCCTGTGTAAATATTTCTTTACTAGTTAGTGTCTCTCTTCTTTCTTATTACTATTTATTATACGTCTGATTCCATTGTTCTTACCCTTCACTAAGTACGTCATCAATATGGGTAAATCAAAGTCTCTGCCAGATTCCATACGGAATTGTTCTCTAAGTCTTCACATGTATGTTGATCATCATCAATTTGTCCACAGTACTAGCATGATGCGCTATCTACCCTACGATGATCATTCAAATATATCCTTAAACAGCCGTGCCCAGTCAATGCTTGACTCATGAAGTATCTACTTCTCTATATTATTTGTTTAGCCATGTAGAATATAGAAAGATCTATCGTGTCCCACTTTCATTAGTTCCTTGGTTATACCTCATTATATCTATTAATCGGTTTAAAACGTTCTACGTCTTCCGATGCCATCTCTCCATGCCTGTCTGTCTCTCCATGGACCGTCTCCGAGAGATCTTTCCTCCATAAACGTATCAATCCCTTCCTGCCAACTTCTTCTCGGTCTACCCTGTTTTCTTCTTCCTGCAGGTTTCCAGATTATAATTTGTTTTGGGATTCTTATTTCTGCCATTCTTTGGACATGCCCGTACCATATGAGTTAACTTCCATGATCTCTCTTGTGCGTTCATTAGTTATTCGCTCGAGTCTTGATTTGCCTGCTGATCTTCTCCAAAAATCCATCTCTGTAGCTTCCAGCATTCGTTTTGTTGTTTCCTTAATTAGCCACGCTGTGAAGTGTGGTACGTGGTTATACTCTTGCTGATGGTATTATATATTAGTGTTTTGTTCTTGTTGTTTATGCTTCTGTCCCACAGTATCCCATTTAATACCGTGATAGCATTCCTTCCAAGTTGGTTTCGTTCTTTAATTGCGGCATACAACAGTCCATCATTTATGATTTGCATACCCAAATATTTGTATTTTGTGCAGCATTTAATTTTCTTCCCTTCTTCTAGTATTAGATTTTGTTGTTCTCCTCCGATACACATATATTCTGTTTTGTTAGTATTGATCTCGAGTCCCTATTTCTGATATTCTTGTATAAGCTTACGTGTCATATAATTTATGTCATCGTAATCTATAACTCATCATACAATCTATAACTCATCATACATGGGGATCTTCCTGTTGTAGGGGGAACAGGGTATTTCGCATCCTCCTCTGACAACAACTGTTCATCCTCCGAGGAATGGACATCTACCTCTTACGAGGTTATAGGTACACCCTTCCACTGTTGGGTGTTAGCCCTCCATAGTCGGGGAGCTTATCTCCTGCTGAGGTAATAATTATTTTAATCTAATCTATACACCACCAAGTCTGTATCCTTACACCAAAAATAGTATTTCTACACAGAAACAGTAATATTGTTATGTTAATTTTAAAAATATTTGATTCTATTTGATAAACATTTCACCACAAGTACTACTACACTTAAAAAAATATTTAAATAATCAAAACAAATATTCGATTACGTAGATAACATATTATTTAACAAAAAAACAAATGTATAATGTTTTGTAATGATGATATACATAAGCTCTTAAAAAAATATCGAAAAATTCCGATAGATATTTAAACTCGTTACTTGAACATAATGAATTGAATCTTCGACACTTCAATGAATAAGCTTAAAAATTTGTAATTAAGGATATATTTTGTTAAAATAGTTTGTATAAACACTTAATTTATCTAATCAGATAGAAAAAACAAAATGTAAACAAAAAACTTCTGATATAAGTGAGAAGACAGGAGTGCATCTTGTTACTTGCCAAGATGAAGTTACTTGTTTGTTTGTGTTTAACTTTCTTACTGCAGCTTGGGTAAGTAGTAATGTTAGGTTATATCAAATATTAAAATGCTCTGTGAAAGAGAAAAATAAAGTGATCTAATTTATGGTATTACTAAAAGCATTAAATTGAGAATTTTTGGGTAATTCTAAAAACCAAAGACAAGGATGTATGGTAACTGTTTGATTATTTTGATTTATTTTTAACTTATCTAGGTATGCAGATGATGAGGAGGTAAGTAACATTGCTTTCCCCGATGGATTTTTGTGGGGATATGCATCTGCTGCATACCAAGTTGAAGGTGGTTGGGATGCCGATGGAAAATGTAAGTTTATAATATATTTTTTCAATTAATAATTTATAAAATAATTCTAGCTTTATTAAGTATTTTATACTTATATATTTTCAACTTTTTAAATATGTCTAATAGTAATTTATTTAAAATTAATATCAATGTTATTTATCATTGTTTTTTTTTTCAATCATAATCACGTATTTATAATCTTTAAATTACTGGATGATTTTCTATTATTGTAAATTGGTAAATAGCAATTATTTTCGATAAAAGAATAATGGATGTTTGAATTAATGTGTGTAGTAAATGGAAATTTATACGTAATTGTATACTTCACCGACACGAAAAACAAGCACCTTAAAATTTTCATGCATCTTGAAGTTTAACATACAAATTTTATTTTAATATACCCTCAGATTTTGGTGATTTTTTAAGCAATTACTAGCAAAATTATTTAACTTTTTAGTCTCTAAATTAACTATTCCTGTTTCCATGTGTCTATTATACGAGGGAAAACAAAAGGTTGTCATTTTGGCAAAAGTTTGAAACGCCATTTGAATATACATTTATTAAAGTTCAGAATTTAAAAATATATTTTTAAGCAAGATTCATCTTTTTTCGATAGTTTGTTTTCGCATTCATCTCAAGAGCTTTAGTTTTTTAAATATTCGGTTTTGAAGAAGATACTAACGATTTGTAAGTGATCAGTAAGTAATAAGTAATGGGTAAGATCAAAATGCAGGATTTTACTGCTAATATTGCTGTTAAGAGTCCATTTAACTAATCCGAAAAAGTAGCAAAATAAGCGTTCGGCATTTAAAACTGACTAGGTATTTTTACACAAATAAAGAAGGGAATTAAAGATAAAGGATTATACTATATCCGTATTGTAGCACATTTTTAGACAACTTCTTTATTTTTGAGATTTTGATAGTCAAACATCAACAAGATATTCCTGTTTGGGCTAAATTTTCTCGAAAATCAAGAGATAATTTAAAATTTCTTTACAATACTGAAATAGATTGAAGTTTTGTGATTAGTGATATATAATTTATATGGTTTTCTAACAAATTGCTCGCTATTTTGTGGCAAATGCTGAAGCAAACCTTAACCAACCCTTAATCCAAGCATGTGTGTTTGGAATTTTGGGTGTGGCTTTACACGATAGGATCGGGTTAAGGCTTAGGCAGATTTCTGAAATATAATATATATTTCCTTCGGCCACACACCCGTTTTACTCGACCACTGAGAGCGACCCGAAAGTACAGCGTAATGGACTCTTAATCTCTACTGTCCAAAAAAAAAACGAATATCTCCAATCAAAACAAAGCTACTAAGATAAACAAAAAAAATATCGAGAAAAAGACAGGACCTTGTTGGTAAAATTTCCTTTAAAATCTCTATTTTGTTGAAAAATTCCACAAGGTGTTTCAAACTTGTCGCCAAAATATGAACATTTTGTTTTTTTCCATATAATACACAAATGGGAACTTCAAAATGGCCCACTAGAACAAAATATATAGAGTTTTAAAAATTCCAATGAATATTTTAGTTGATTTACTGTATTATCGTTATCTTATAGCTCCAAGTATATGGGATAACGACGCACATAACAATCCCAGTTGGTTTCCCGAAGGACAGAATGGGGATGTAGCTTGCGATGCTTACCATAAAACAGATGAAGATGTTGGTAAGCTTATAGAAGAATAATACCTTACATTAAAAATATCATTACAGTTTATAATCATCTGCTGATGATGCTAACATGGTTAGCGAAACGCGCGTCCAGTGTAAAAGTAAAAGTGTTTTGGTGTATTGTGGTGATTTAGTGTTTTTATTTTGCTTAAAAATATCAGTTGAATTTTTATTCAATTTTTTACATATCAGTTTAATATCTTTTAGCTCTCCTGGTCTATCAAGGCGTCAAAGCCTACAGATTTTCTATCTCCTGGCCTAGAGTACTACCAACAGGTTTCACAGACAATATTAACGAAATAGGTAAATTCTAGCATTTTTTTTTCTATTCTAAAATAAAAATATTGTCACTAATTACAGGAATCGCTTACTATAAGGATCTTATCACAAAATTAAAGGCCAACAATATTGAACCTCTTGTCACTATGTATCACTGGGATCATCCTAGTTCACTAGAAGACCAAGGAGGATTTCTGAACGAAGTAAAATTAATTTTGCAGTAGTCAATGTCATCTGTAAAGTCTGTCCAACAAGTCAGGAAAGATTTTGACAGACAGAATCCAAAATAGGGTAGAAAATATAACTTACTTACCAATTAAAATGACAGAGAATCCTTTCGTTGGGCAGACTATACAAGGTGTTTGTTTATATTTGATAAGAAAATATACTTAGATAAACAGCAACGTATAAACTAGAGTAATATTATGTGTATACTAATTTTTAATTCTCTATTTTTTTTGTTTTATTTAAAATTTAATTATTTATAGAGTCTAATCATTCCCGCATTTGTTGACTATGCCACCCTATTGTTTGAAAGGTTCGGTGATGATGTAAAATGGTGGACCACCTTCAATGAGCCCAAACAAACTTGTGCCGGAGGTTACGATTGGGGCGGTATTTCCCCCCAAAAAAGATTATCGGGAGTTGGAGGTTACATCTGTGCCCATAACTTGCTAAGAGCTCACGCCAAAGCCTATAGAGTATACGATGAAAAATTCAGAGCTACTCAAAATGGTAAGAAAACTATAGATATCTTGTTGAGTTTGGCTTGTTTTCTCTACAACTACAATTTCTTCAGTGACTATAACACCAAGAAAATAAATTGGGATTACAACTCATTGAATTGGTAGTGGTTTTATTTAGTTGCAAGTATATTGCAAGTAAAAATAAAATTAAAAATAAATTATTGTATTTACAGGAAAGGTATCAATGGTAATTGACGAACCTTGGCATGAACCATCTTCAAATTCTACCCAAGATCAAGAAGCTGCAGAGCGTCAGAATTTGTTCAATGTAAGTACAAGATTAAATTATTTAAAGTAAATGTAAAACTACATCATCTCTAACAAAAGTTCTTAAATAATATCAGAAATAAAATTACCTATTTTTTTCTTATAGTATGGATGGTTTGCCGATCCAATTGTTTTTGGTGACTATCCGGACGTGATGAAACAACGTATTGCCGAAAGAAGCCAATTACAAAATCTATCACAATCACGACTCCCTAGTTTTACTGATGAGGAAAAAGCTGAATTGAAAGGTAAATGATAAAAAGAGAAGATATTTTTCTTAGAAATAATAATACATTTCAAGAAATTTAATAATAATATTAAAAGTCTCCTATTCGATAAGTTATAGTCTATTTGTTATATTTAATTATTGTATTTTAAAGCCCTTTATCATTTAGCCTTCTAAAAAATTTACATACAATTTTTTTACAGGAAGTTATGATTTCTTAACAATCAACATGTACACAACAGATTTGGTACTATGGCGTGAAGACGATCCTATTGGAGAACCCTCTATATACGATGACGTTGGTGTCACCACGTACCAACCAGATGACTGGGAGAAAACAGTTACAATCTGGTTCAAGGTATTCATCTAATTTTTTTTTGATCCAATACCATCTGGCAGTACTAAATATTAAGCCTGGTGACTTACTAATAATTGCCCATGGAACTCTGCGTACCTACCTAACTACCTATCTACTTACGTAGCAAATCGGATTCTGAGCTTCACTAAAGCTATATTTAAAAAACAATCGAGACTAATAAATAATAAGGCTAATATTCCGTGTGGTGTAAATTTTTAAAAGGTCAAATATTATCTCTCCAGATAATTTTATGCAAAAATTGTATTTGAATTTTTGGAAGAATCTTTAAAGCTTGGAAGCTCTTGGAAGAATCTTTACTTTTATCTAGAATTTCGTTTTATTCAGAATAGGCATTTAAAAGTTATTTTCAAAAATGTACCTTACCAGCTTAGTCTTCTATAGCATCTTACATTTTCCTTAATAAACAATAAAATAGTGTTTTTATGTTTATAGGTAGTTCCTTGGGGTGCTCGCTCTTTGGTACGCTGGATCAACAACAGATATGGTGACGAAAAAGGAATAATAGTAACTGAGAACGGTTATCATGACAACGGCAATAACCTCACCGATTTGGGAACCAGAGGCCGTTACCACAAGGTAAAGTTCCTAAATCTATTTTTATAGGCGGAACATTTAAAATGACAGTAATATTCTGAGTTGAATATATTCTTCTACAGTATGTCCCGGGATTGTCTTTACAAGGGGAAAAACTTTTTTATTGTTGACATTTTGGGAAAAATGCATTCTTGATAAAAATGTTTGCTTTTCCAAAATAGTTAATGCTGTTCATACTTTTTCAAATTTCCATACTGTTTTAGAGAAAATTAAAAAAGAAGATGAAAATGTGGTTGATTCTTTTCTTAACCATCAATCACAGTTCTACGGTAATATAATTTCAATGTCACTCCTCCCCCCCCCCTTGATAAATGGTTATTATTAATTCATAGATAAAGGAAATAAATTTAGATTGGAATGCCGCCAAAATATAAAACTGTTTTGGGTCGCTACTGTTGTACGCGATCTGGCGCTGCTATAGTGGTTGTTAAGAACAACCGCAAACAATACAGAAATAATTTTCTCTTGTCAAAGTCAGAATCTTCAAAAATTATAAAATCTTTCAAAATTTAAACCGCCCTCATTGAAAAATTACCCAAACGTTCTTACTCAAACTTGTAATAATTGTGAAAAAGTGGCATTAACTTAAAAAGCTGTGTTGTGAACTGTGAACTGCAAAAACTATCGTGGATCGTGGCATAACGCCGGTTTCCAATGTTTCATGGGTATTTCGTACATGTTCTTATATAAAATAAAGTTTCTTGTATGCAAGACACTGTATTTTATATATAAAATTAAAAGAAAATAATAATAAATTTGAATAAATAATATTTGGCATAATAATTCCGGAAAAAGCCGAACCAATCCGAAATGATCAAAAGCTTTGGGTCGCGACCGTTGCAAGAATAGCGCCAAATAGTATTTACATTGTCCTTATGGGCACTTTCCTATCTAAACTTCTTTCATTTATCTATGTATTAATTTTGATTAACACCATATTTTTTGTGGTTGATAAAATATCATCTTCCGATAACTATTATCATCACTTCCTAGCATTGAACTAAATAAAGTTTGTGCTTCATTAACATTTTAAATCGGCAAAAAATACAAGTTAATTAAAATTCTACCATTAACAATCTATTTAAATGAATTGTTTCTTATATCTATACTACAATATTATCAATATTCTTTATTTTAATAATTGATATTACAGAACATTATTATGATATCATAATAACATTAGCAAATGCTACCAAATTATTACTGTTAAGTTAATATACTTTATATATAGACTTAAATTGCTGTTCTAAAATATTTAAGGAACAGATATTAAAGAATTTCATAAATAATGAAAAAGACGATAATCCATTACTAGGAAAATAATGTTTAAAGTACTTAAATGTTTTTATTCGATTCCAGTTATACTTGAGCAACCTAAACGACGCTATATATAAAGACGGAGTTAATTTAATCGGTTATATGGCCTGGAGTCTGATGAATGACGTAGAGTGGTATGCTGGTTGGTTGTAAGTATTTTTTATGAAATTCAAAGTACAATCAACTAAGAACCAAGCAAATATTAATGTCAATAGCTTTAGCTCAACTATTATCAACATTGACTTGATGTCTGACTCAATCTAAAATAGTTTTCTTTGTAAAATGAAATAATATTTTGTTATTTTATAGGGTTAATCTGGGACATTACCATGTTGATTTTGACAGCGATGAAAGAACAAGAACTCCCAAGGAATCGGGAGTGTATTACAGAAAAGTCGTAACAACCAGTTGTCTTGTAGATAATTGTACGGCATCACCTATTAAATTAAACCTAAATTAAATATGTATTTTTATAAATAAAATTATTTAAATCTATGGTATTTCTTTAATTATAACCCTTACATTCACCATACCTTTGAATAAGAAGACTAAGGAGGGAGCATATCAAAAATCTTAGGTACACCGCGATGGGCCTCAAATATGGCCGACTTAAATTCCGGTTTATCAGTGTCGTTCTAATTTTATTTAAAAAATGTAAAACTATGATGTAGGGTAGACGTGGGGTAGACTCAATAATTTGTTGTTTTATTTTACGTTGTGAATAAATGTTGGTAGTTATTAAAATTGTTATAAAAATATATAATTCTAATAAAAATAGATAAGTTATAATAAGTATTTATTAACACAAACATCCGATACGCTACTGAAGCAGGTAAGTCAAATTAACGTATCTAAATTCTTTGACATCTAATCTTTGACAAGTAATAAATAAAAGCTAAAATGCAAGAAAAATATGTAATTTAGTTAATTTAAGTGAATTTCATAAATGATCGGTTTACTACACGTATGTATATTATATAGTCACTTACTAGCGAAAAGTTGTTCCATTATTTCACTCAATTTCTGCCGAGATCTACCGCACGCTACACAACCAACTATTTTAGAGTCTTTTTCGATAAATCGCGATAGTGTCACTGTTAATTTAAGTTCTGCCACAATTTCCATCTAGATTTACTCCCTTTATACAACTATCAGTAGTAGAATAAATAATAAATAACATAAAATAAGCTCCGTAAAAACTGACAAATCCACAAAATTTCAAATCAAATTCAAATGTGTCAAATGAATCGTCAAACAGAACTGTCAAGGATCCCCACCCTAGATAGCTTTTATGGTGGCTTTTCCGCCCACCATACATGAATACATGGATAGCATTATGCTCCTTCCTTAGTCTTCTTATTCAAAGCACCATACAATAAAACATAACACTTTTTTCATAATTATTGAAAAACTAATAGTTTCAATATGTAATGAATTCTTTTCAATTATTATTTTTACATTTAAAGATGTGTTACAAGGTTATAAGGTAAAAAATGTCTATACCTATGTGGGGGATTCATCTATCCAAAAAATCCTTTATGGGCATTTCGCCACTGCACTGCAAGAAAAATCTACAAAATAAAATAGTTATTTTTTGTAAACACTTCTGCGTTAAACCTAAACTATACTATATATTATGTTTAGGTTTAACGCAGAAGTGTTTACAAAAAATAACTATTTTATTTTGTAGATTTTTCTTGCAGTGCAGTGGCGAAATACCCATAAAGGATTTTTTGGATAGTTATAAGGTAAATACTGATAAACTTATCAAATCTTATTTTAATACTTTTGAAATACTTCTAAAAATTCTGAATAGTGAGACAAAACTAATGAAGCCCCTTCAACTACTAGAATACTTCTAACAAGTGTTTATAAAGGTTCGAACAAACTTATCAGCTCTATGAAATTAATGGTTTTTATTGGCATTTGTTAGTGAAAAATATTTTTGTTATTATTTCAACACAATTATAATAAACAAAATACAAGAAGTGAAAAATTAAGACCTAACCCCTACATATATGCTTATTCTTCTGCATTTGTTCATTTATATAAACCCTACCTTTTTTTTCTTTGAGCTCCATCTACGGTAACGTAGATGAAGCAAAGCACAATTATAATACATGAACAATAATGTATTCAAGTAAATTTATGAGTTTGTACGTATAAACTTCATAGAATGTGTTATATAAATTATATTCTTGGACTGAATTGTCTTTAATTTTGAGATATTACATATAAGTTTCGCCCAATGAATATCTATCTTTATAGGTCAGGTATCCATGGTAATTGACACTACATATCATGCTCCTGCATCAAATTCTACACAAGACATAGAAGCTTCAGAACGTCAAAATTTATTCCATGTATGTAATAATTAGAAATTAAAAAAATATCTATTTATAGAATTTTTATACCTAAATTACTCTTATTATGAGGTAGATTAAATTACATATATCTTTATGCATATTTTCTCTTAATAGTATGGATGGTTTGCTGATCCAATTGTTTTTGGTGACTACCCAGACATGATGAGACAACGTATTGATGAAAGAAGTGCATTACAAAATCTGACTGAATCACGTCTTCCTACTTTTACTGATGAGGAAAAAGCAGAATTAAAAGGTATTCTTTTGTCAGTTACAACATTTAGTAAAAAAAATATTAGATTATCTTCAAGATAAATATAATTAGGAATGTAGTGACAATAATAATATAAGTATTATATAAAGAGTATTTAATTTACTAATGTTTAAAAATATATTTTATAGGCAGCTATGATTTCTTGACGGCGCGATGACGACCCTATTGGAGAACCAAGCATGTCTGACGACGTTAGTGTCACAACTTACCAACCCGATGATTGGGAAAAAACTGTAACCTACTGGTTCAAGGTATTGAGAATATTGATCTTAACTCTAAAGAGAAACAATCATATATCAACAAATGTTCAATACCAAAAACGATGTATCATAAAATTATGTACAAAAAATTCGTCCAATTTTTACCTCACGTTAAGGTTTAAGAAAAGTTATCATGGGTTACGATCGCAGTACATTTGGACATTGCTAGTTTCTATAAATCATTTTATATCATTTATTCTATTTCTATCAAGACATTACTTAATTCCTTAGGTTGTTCCATGGGGTGCTCGTGATCTGGTAGTATGGATCAAGAACAGATACGGAGATGATAAGGGAATCTTAGTTACCGAAAACGGGTACCATGACAACGGCAACAATCTCACCGACTTGGACTCGAGAGGTCGTTATCACAAGGTAAATATCAACAATTTAACTACCCAGAATTCATTGATATCGACACAATTACATCTTTTATAGATGTAAATCATCATTCTGAAGTACTTATTGACTAAGCAAATAAAAGAAATATTAATATGAGTTACAAATTAATAAAATAATGACAGTATTTTGCTAGGTGCATTTTTTTCTGTTAAATTTTTGAATAACTTTTTGGTTTCAGTTATATTTGAGCAACTTGAACGACGCTATATATAAAGATGCAGTATATCTAATAGGTTACATGGCATGGAGTCTAATGAATGACGTGGAATGGTATGCCGGATGGTTGTAAGTACTTTAAAGTCTTTAATATATTAAATAAACGTAACTTTGTTGCTGTGTAACATATTAGACCAAAATACCGTATTAAAAAAAACACTTAAGATTATTGGTACTGCTATTTTGAATATTTTAAATCAGTTGAAATGCGAAATTACAAGAGAATTTTATACTATATTCAATTATACAGGAAAATAATTAATAATATTTTAATTTTTAATAATTATCTGTTTTATAGAGTCAATCTGGGACATTACCATGTTGATTTTGATAGTGGCAACAGAACAAGGACCCCAAAAGAATCGGCAGTATATTACAGAAAAGTCGTAACAACTAATTGTCTTATGGAAAACTGTACAGCTTCACCCATAAAGTACAATTTCAATTAAACTTATTTTAATACCACGGAATTATTTTTAGAAAATAAAATTAGTTAAAATACCCATTGTTTGTTTTATTTTCATAACAACTACGTTAAAAATTCAAAATGTTGCCCTTCAATAGTTAACCAAAAATTAAACAAAACTTTTTTTTAAATATCAAATCTTCAGGGTCGAAATATCCCATCCCTAAAAATATTTGCACTTATTTAAGTAATAAAAATAAGAATTACCCTAAAATATTTGCACTATTATATGTAATGCAGACTTAGAGCTTGATATAGGGGAAAGTCACCCGTACCCTACCAGCTCCTAAAGCATACCTCTTTAATATCTCGTTTATAATTATTGCAATAGCGAGACCCCTTTATGGTTTATTTACTAAGCCCAATGAGACATCCAGTAACGCCTAAGATCTTTTAAAAACTAGCACAAGTGCTTTTAGAAAAAATACATATCAAATACTCTGTGTATATGGCCTCTAATATTTCGATGATTTATGGTCAATGATTTTGTCTGGCTTAAAAAAATGCAATTAATGTTGTGTATATTTTTCTCAAACTAGATAATATTTCCTTATAATCCACATGGCTAAACATCAACTTACTACCTCAATTTATACCAGAATGATTTAAAAATGAGCAGTATTTAACTACATATTTCATTTGCTATCGTCATTCTTACATTTATTTATTTCAACTTCAATTTTATATACATAAAATATTTTGATTCGTGTAAATTTAAATAAAGTCTCAGTTTTTGTACATCGTACTTGAGAGATAACATGTTTTAGTGATAATAATCTATCAATATATTTTTAGAAGTGTTGGCATATTTAAATAAGCAAATATGTGCTATATGTCGATGACATAATTATTTAATACAATATGTGCACATAACATTTTTATTGTTTATGTATGACTCTTATACATAATTAATCAAAAATTCCTTAAGGTGCTTGAACCTTTTGACTATCAAGTATAATACCATAAATTTATCAATCTAATAAACAAATTCCAATTTAACAGTTCATATATTTTTATTGTAATAGTTTGCATAAACACTTATTTTATCTAATCACTGGAAAAAAACTCTATGTAAACAAGAATAATCTTGTACATATAAATCAGAGAGTGAAGATGCATGTTGTTACTTCGCAAGATGAAGTTACTTGTAGCGTGTTTATGTATTGTAGTTACACTGCAGCTAGGGTAAGTAACTAAATATTTAAAATATCCTAAGTATTCTATACTTTAGTCACTACAAGTACATTATACCTACTAAGATTAAGTAAATGGGCCAAACACTTGTCAAATGCGCTGAATTTCTGAAGCCACAGTTTTCTATTGTGAAATATAATACAGTTACATGCTGGTTATACAAATTTTAACAAAGTTAAATACTCTATTTTTGAATTATAATATTCAATTTTAAACAGCGTTTTTTAGTATAATATTTAACCAACTACAAAAGAAAAATGTAACTAAACTTATGAAAAGAAGACTTAAATCTTTATGCTACAACATTTTCAAAATCACACTTTATCATTGAAACTAAGAGGGCCATGATAATTTTGTTAGGCATCTGTTGTTTTACGAAAAAGTAGCATAAGTTTTGCGTAGATCCCAAAGTTCTATATTTTACTAATAAGTGAAATAACACTCACTTGCAACCAAATTAAGACACTCTGTACACTGAGTAGATATATTTAATCCTCTTAAATGCATACTTTTTTAATATTAATATCGACGGTTGAAAGGAGAAACTGCTAATACGCCACTTTCATAACTTTACAGAAGACCTTTGTCTGTTTTATTTTGAAACTCTGTCGCTTAAGACATTATGTTTCTCGTAATTTATTCAAAATTTAAAATCTTTAATGCGCCAAACCATAGGATTATTAGGATGAAACCTAAGTAGATCGACGCAGAAAAATTCGAAGATATAAATAACTCAATTTCCACAAAAGTGGCGTATTAGCCATTTCTCCTTTCAACCGTCGATATGTTTTTCAAATTAAAAAAAATCAATATAAGCATGAGTTTCATTTTGTCTAAGTATGGTAAAATTCCACATATTTTGAGAATATTGTTTTGATTCTAAGAAATAGTTTGAGAATCCACTTCATCCATTACTGTATTTTTTACTATTAAATAATTCTATTGATAACATGTCAAAACATTCAAAACACTGATAAAATAAATAGGTTCGTTCAACTTTTACAATGATTATACAGGGTGAATCTTAAATAAGTGCAAATATTTTTAAGAGTAGTATATTTTGACCCCAGAAAGACGATTATGAGGGTTTTCTTCTGTTTCACAGTTTAAAAGACCATTTGACTGAATATGTTGAAAAGCGTTTAGTGTAACACAAAAAGAAAAACTTTATTATAAACCCACTAACGAAATATACTAAATTAATAAACTACACTGAACCAAAAGTCGACATAAATACAATGAAAAAGTTCATTAATATAATGAATTAAATCATTAATTTTGAGCCGATGAACGATTTCATTGGCACAATGAAAAGTAATTCATTAACTCTATGAATTTTAAGTTCATTAAATCAATGAACAGTGTTCATTAATTTGAAGAACACATTCATTGGTACAATGAACAGATTTCATTAATACAATGAAATAATTTCATTGTATTAATGAACAGTGGCCCCACCAAAAGCGTCCAGCGTTCGGCGTGTCTCGCCAAAAACGTAAATAAAAACAAATCAATTTGTTTTCTGTAGCGTTTTTAGCGTTTTCTATGAGACCCCGTCATAGGCGGACGTAATATTTAATAATACATTAAAAATAAATTAAATACATAGTAAGCATTTTTTTAACATCTACTGTTTAGGAAGTAAAGTAAAAAATAGTTTTTATGCGTGAAAAGTGTTTTTTCTGCGTAAAAAAGTTTTTTACCAGAAACAATAAGTTTTTGACGCGTAAAAATTAGTTTTTTACGTGTAACAAATAGTTTTTTACACGTAAAAAATATTTTTTTTGGCGTAGAAAGGTTTTTTTAGCAGGAACAATAAGTTTTTGACGCGTAAAAATTAGTTTTTTACGTGTAACAAATAGTTTTTTACACGCAAAAAATTTTTTTTTTGCGTAAAAAAGTTTTTTTACCAGAAAAAAATGTTTTTTTACCAGAAACAATAAGTTTTTGACGCGTAAATAAATATTTTTTTACGTGTAATAAATATATTTTTACACGTAACAAATAGTTTTATACGCGTAAAAACTAGTTTTTACGTATAACAGTGTTATTCGCGAAAAATAATAAAAAATAGTACTTTACGTGTAACAAATGGTTTTTTACATGTAATAATTTGATTCACTTTTACAAAATTTGTATTAAAATATCAATATTTTTGATAAACACGTGGACTGCTCACAAATACACGTCGCGTCACTACGTATTTCTAAGCCGTTAACACGTTTCGTTACAACTAGCTCGTGTGTCAGGGCCGCGGCCGTCTCGCTAGCTCGTATGTCACGGCTTTGAATATTTACTCCCAGCGCGTAAAGAAGTTTCACTCCAAAAAGTTCCATAAATCATGTCCTAAAATTGCGTTAGCAACTAGTACTAATATATATTATTGACTATTCTATTATATAATTATAATTTTTTATTATATTATATTATAATTATAACAAGTAACCACAACACTAGAACATAAAAAAACTATACACATATAAACTAAAATTCTTAAAATAAATGGCAAATAATAATTATTATTTTTATACACACCACTGCTGTATTTGTCGCCGAATATATGCCCCGGCCCGTCCACAATTCAATCCCAGCATCTTTTATCTTCGTCTCTTCAACGCTAACCGCGCCGATCTCGCCTATCTCTTTCTCACAGGATTGATTATTGAACGGGCCGGGAATCCACGAGCTTGCGATATTACTTATCGACATCTTGATAGAAACTGCAGACCTGCCGCGTCTTTTGCGTGTTTTTACTGGACACAAGTCGAAAAAAATGCTTAAAACGGTAAAATCGCAAAAAGCGCTTAAGACGCAAAAAACGCAGAACGCTAAAAACGCTTTCTGTGTGGCCGTGGGCTTACACATAATAATTAAAACACTAAATTTTTAATCATATGCTGATGATGCTGACTAAAGTTTTTATTTTTCTATATTCAATCTATTTATCTAGTTCTGCAGATGATGAAGAGGTAAGCACCATTGCTTTCCCAGATGGTTTTATTTGGGGTTATGCATCAGCTGCTTACCAAGTAGAAGGTGGTTGGGACGCAGATGGCAAATGTAAGTTTAAAATACTTTTATTCACGAACCATTTCTTTTACCACCTTACTTTAATACTACCCCCTATTTACTATATTATGTAATCTATAGCTGAAAGTATCTGGGATTACGATGCACACAACAATCCCAGTTGGTTTCCCGAAGGACAAAATGGAGATGTAGCGTGTGATGCTTACCATAAAACAGACGAGGATGTTGGTAAGTATTTGAGTAGAATGTTAGAAACATAGTAAATATTTGATCAAAAACATTGACAACAACTTAACTAGATATTACCTCAAGATTTAACGTCATAAAGAAGAACTAAAAACTAACTTAAACAAGGTGCTAAATAACCATTGATGCTCATACCTAAGATACTTCTTTTTCTTCTTCAAGTGTTTATGTATAAACAATTTGATACATTATGTTTCAGCTCGTAACACTATCATTTAGTACAGTCCGAATAATATTTAGTACACTCTGAACCGCTGTAATTAAATAATAAGCACAACGTTTTCCAAACATTTTGTGCATCATTCTACAACAAATTACCACAATTTATTTAATAATATATTTTATTTTTGATTATAAACTTGTTCGAAACAGAATTTTTTTAAATATAATTAAAAAAGAATCAAAGCAATATAGCAAATATGATATGTTTCAGGACTTCTAGTTTATCAAGGTGTAAAAGCTTACAGATTTTCAATCTCCTGGCCTAGAGTATTACCAACAGGTCTTACAGACAATATCAACGAAAAGGGTAAATCTATATAAATCATTTCTCTGCATAAATAATGATATTGTATTTTGAAATAAACAGGAATTGCTTATTACAAGGACCTTATTACCAAACTCAAAGCAAACAATATTGAACCTATCGTTACAATGCATCATTGGGACCATCCCAGAGCACTGGAAGAACAAGGAGGATTCCTAAACGACGTAAAATATTAATTTCACCAAACAGTATAAATAAGTTATCTGGGTATGTTTCAGAGTCTAATTATTCCTGCATTTGTGGATTACGCTACACTACTGTGGGAAAGATTTGGTGATGACGTCAAATGGTGGACCACTTTTAACGAACCCAAACAAACTTGTGCTGGAGGTTACGACTCTGGTGGTATTTCTCCCCAAAAGAGATATTCGGGTAGAGGAGGTTATATTTGTGCTCATAACGTATTGAGAGCTCACGCCAAGGCTTACAGAGTGTACGATGACAAGTTTAGAGCTACTCAAAATGGTGAGTTAGAGGCCAAAATATATTTAATTTTGTATCATTATTGACATCATCAATTGCAGCTACCGCCCTTTATCGTGCTACATTTTTTAAATAGTATTATTTCATTCTCCTCTATGTGTCTCCCTTTTGTGCTGTTTGATGCCATTTTTCTATCTTGCTTTCTGAAACCATAGTTTCGTTGTTAGACTTAATACGTCATTCTAATACTAGTATGCCATTTTGGTAGTTTGTCTTTCACCAGTTCTCCTGGCTAGATGGCATGCTCATTGCCATTTGAAGGATTTAGTTGTGTGAGTAATCAGGTGCGCTCTTTGAGTCTTCTGTTATATCCAATCTATAATTTTGTTGTCCCTCTCTGCAACTACAGGTATACAGGATATTTCAAAAACATGTGCTATGTGCATGTGGGTTATCGCTGGAATATTTTTCTAAAAAAAGCATGTACGCGACTGACTTTTTTTTCTCTTGTTAGCAAAATAGTGTAAGCAATTTAATGTCGATTAAAAGTTGTCTCTCGATTATTTGTCGATTTCGGCCTCCTTGATGAGATAAACGCAATTTTATTAATTTGCCTTGATCCAAGTCAATAGCAACCTTTAAAAAAATTTAATATCATTAAGTTGTGAAAGTTTTAAACATGGATATGGAAATGCATAGCTTTACAGTTACAGGATGTTAAAACTTTTTAAAATTAGTTTTTTTGTAATTATGTATCTTAAATACCATTATTTTTTTTATTTGAAATTGCTGTATGTTGGACTAATAGTAATATTTAATAATAAATTAAGTAAAATATGTGATTTATAATTTTTATTTAAATTTTATTAATCGTGATTAATAAAATTGCGTTTATGTCATCAAAAAAGCCGAATCGGACAAAATATCAAGAGATAACTTTTAATTGGCATTAAACGGCCTACATAATTTCAATATTAAAAGAAAAAAGTCAGTGGCCCACATGTTTTTTTTTGAAAAATATTCCAGTGATAACCCATATGCACGTCCCTGATGCATGTATTGACACTTTTTTAGCATTAAAATATATAATACTTATAACTTTGACCCTCAAAATTTCATTGAAATCATTAAAGGTAATTGGAAGAATATTATAATAAATCGAAAAATTATTAAAGGTTTAACACCCTCCAGCTACGAAACAAAGCAGAATCGGACCTATGTTGATATGAAAAATAAGTCTTATTTTTACTTGAAGAATCATCGCACGAGAAATGGCAAATGTTTTTTGAAACACCCTGTATATCACTCAATAGACCTTTCTGGCCAAGTTTTTCCATGATTCATGAAAGTCGACATGGAAAATAAAATAATAATTTTATAGGAAAGGTATCGATGGTTATTGACACTTCATGGCACGGACCTGCTTCCAATTCTACTGAAGACAAAATAGCCTCAGAGCGTCAGCTTTTGTTCAATGCAAGTAAAAAAAAGCGAAAAATTAAATAGATCAGAATAAATGCTTAAGATAAAGGTATTACTTTTTAATAAATTGTACTGAAGCTGTGGTTGGTTCCTTGTGAAACATCGTTGAAATATTAGTATTTTAATAAAGCACGCTTTTAGATGTTTCAAAAAACTTTTAATAAGAGTAACTTTAACTCTACATATATGTTTCGGCTTGTTAGGCCTTTTTCAAGAGTTTTTTAAGAACTAATCGTCTAACTACACTGTAACTATATATATATTTGCTATGGGGGTGGGTTCAGAGAGTTTACAATAGGGGTAATAAAAAATGTGTTTAGAAATCCTTGTTGGTCGTTAACATTATTTTCGTTTTTAACAGATTTTAGTATTTCTAACTGTTCAATGTAATTTAAGCGTCTACCTTTTGTTTCTCTGTGTAGTAACTTAATTGAGTTTTCATTAATTTTGTGATTATTTACTATACAATGAGTTGCAAGACCAGAACTATGCTGGAGATTATTAATAGACTTTACATGTTCTTTAATCCTTATATCTAAATTTCTACCTGTTTGGCCTATGTACACGGCATCACAATCATTGCAATCCACCCTATATACACCCGACTTATTTTTGACATTAGTTGTGTCTTTATTATTTAATAAAATTTGACCTAAATTTCTTTTATTTACGTTAATAGTTTTACATCCTATTTTATTGAGATTATTTGATATTTTGTTAGTTAAATTAGGAATGTAGTAGTTTAAAAGTCGATAATTGTTATTGTCTTTAGAATTAGCGGAATAAAAATTTTTCATTAATATTTTCTTTTGTTTTTTCTTTAGCATATTATCAATAAGGGAACACTTATATCCATTGTTGATGGCGATTTGTTTAATAATATTTTACTCTTTTTTAAAATTCTCTGGGCTCAGTGGAAACATTACTAATCTATGAATTAAACTATGAAAGGGTGACATTTTGATTTGCCAGGATTGGTGTGATTGACTATGTATTATAGTGTCTGTGGTAGTGGGTTTTCTACAATTTGATATTTACAGAAAACTAACTACTAAAATCTGTTAAAAAAAAATCGAAAATAATGTTAACGACCAACAAGGATTTCTAAACACATTTTTTATTACCCCTATTGTAAACTCTCTGAACCCACCCCCATAGCAAATATATATATATATATATATATATATATATATATATATAAACATATATATATACAATATATATATATATATATATATATATAGTTACAGTGTAGTTAGACGATTAGTTCTTAAAAAACTCTTGAAAAAGGCCTAACAAGCCGAAACATATATGTAGAGTTAAAGTTACTCTTATTAAAAGTTTTTTGAAACATCTAAAAGCGTGCTTTATTAAAATACTAGTATTACTTTTTATTTATATCTTCTATTATAGTACGGATGGTTTGCCGATCCAATTGTATTTGGTGACTATCCAGACTTGATGAGACAAAGAGTTGACGAAAGAAGTAAATTACAAAATCTAACAGAATCACGTCTTCCAACCTTTACTGATGAAGAAAAAGCAGAATTAAAAGGTATTATTTTAGTACATATTATGTTTTCAAATTATATCTATTTTTAATAAAATCTTTCAAAATTACAAAACCTAAATGGAAATTTTTTGTATTTTGAAATCTCATCATATTATGCTTTGTAGGTAGTTATGATTTCCTGACAATTAACATGTACACCACTGATTTGGCAAAATGGCGCGATGACGATCCCGTTGGAGACCCCAGCATATACGACGACACTGGTGTCACAACTTACCAACCAGACGACTGGGAAAAAACAGTATCAAACTGGTTCAAGGTACTGAAAACATAATTTTCGAGTTTGATTCTAATTTAAATTTGAAACAGATTTAATTTTTAAGTTTACCAGCCCAACACTTTTGTAAGAAAAAAATAAATTCCATAGGTTGTTCCATGGGGTGCTCGTGCTTTGGTCGTATGGATCAAGAACAGGTATGGAGATGACAAAGGTATCATGGTAACTGAAAACGGTTACCATGACAACGGCAACAATCTAACTGACTTGGGCTCTAGAGGTCGTTACCACAAGGTAAATAAAATCAATTAAATTAAAATCGATAATAGGTTCACATAAGTATATAAAAACAAATATATTATTATTTTAAAGGCTTAGATCGTCATTCTGAAGTACCTATTAAGTAAACAAGTTAAAAAAAAATAATGATATAAGTTATTAAAGATGTAGTGATTAATACTGAAGTTTTAATTATTTAATGGCTTTTGGATTTTAGTTATATTTGAGCAACTTGAATGATGCCATATATCAAGATGGGGTAAATTTGATTGGTTACATGGCATGGAGTTTGATGAATGACGTGGAATGGTATGCCGGTTGGTTGTAAGTACCACAAAATATTTCTATAAGAAATCACAATAACCTCATTACAATGTGTATCATTTATTAAACAAGTAGAAATTTATATTTTTGTTAATATATGTAATTTTTACTGAAATAGTTATGAAAAAACTAAATATTAGAATGATTTTTAACAATTCTTTATGTTTTATAGAGTCAATCTGGGTCATTACCATGTTGATTTTGACAGCGACAACAGGACAAGGACTCCAAAAGAATCGTCAGTATATTACAAACAAGTCGTAACAACAAATTGTCTTGTGGAGAGTTGTACAGCTTCGCCCATAAAATTGAACTTAAATTAAACTTATTTTTTATAAGCAAAGTCACTTAAATAACAACTGTGAAGCAGCGTCAAAAAGAAAGACACCTATTTTTTATAAATAAAATTAGTTAAAGTACTATATTTGTTTAATTAACATAACTCTTAAATCCACTAAATTATTAAAATTGTTGCTATCTGCAGTATTAAAAAAAATTCACAAAAACATGATACCTTGAATAAGCAATGGTAAATTCATAAATTAAACATTTTTAAGTTGAAAAATATAAGTATAATATAGTTTAAAATAAATACATGAAGAATATGGATATTGTAAACAATATGCAATCATAACCTTATTAGTTATGACAAAAATAACTAAATTTCTTCGTGTAGCGCTTCGTGCAAAGCCACTGGAATAAACGTCCAGCTCAGGACGAACGATTTGGGCTATAATTTAATGAAAGTCGGTATATTCGATCTGTCTAAATCAATCTATTAAATATTACACAGGAAGAGCAAAAAAAAATATTTTAGTTTGATTTAAAATTTCCCAAATCATTGTTATTTTAAATTCAACCCTATTTATATTTTTTAAAAAATGAAAAGACTAATAAAATTGCTTTTAAACGATATATCATGTTCCTATATTTAAACCTACCAGTTTTTTAAGTAGGCATATTTAAAAATTAATAATTCTATTATTATAGTTTTATGTTAAGAATTTCCTTACCATGACAATTTTAGAAATTGAGTATATTAGTATATGTATTCAAAAGTAGAGTCTAATTGATACGTAATATAAAGTTTGAATATGGTAAGGATTCTCTTTAAACGAAAGAATTATAATAGAATGATTATCTTTTAAATTGATTTACTGAACAAACCAGAAGGTTTAGGGATAGCAACATGATATATCATTGAAAAGCAATTTTATTTATGCTTCGATTTTTTAAATAACATACATAGGCTTAAATTTAAAATAACAATGATTTGGATGATTCTACAACAAACGGAAATAAATGTTATTTTGATCTTCCTAAATAATGTCGACTTTCCTTAACCTATAAACCAAATTTCAGCTCCCAACACACTGAATTTACAATTTAAGCAACGCGTATTCAAAATCATGTCAATTCTACACATGTCAGAGATAGGAATAGGTTAGTATAATAGAAACATTTTGAGATATGAAAACAGTTTCAAAAATATGTAATAATATACCAGGATATTCTCTCTCTCTCCAAAGATGAAAAATACCAAAGATGCTGCAACTTTTAGTACGAAGAGGAAACACTGTAACACTGAAAATAATTTAGGCAGATGGAGCTGGTACCTCTATGCAAAAATCCAAACAAACGTAAAATATTATCTATTAATGCTATAATTATACAATTAAACATACATAAAATTTTGGTTAAGATCGATTTAAAAAAAAGATTTATTTTATTGTTTAGTATTAGTAAACGAAAAATTTAAAAATTGTGCCTTTTATATAACATTTATCCATTCATATTTTTTAGTTTAAAATAAATACATGAAGAATATGGATATTGTAAACAATATGCAATCATAACTTTACCAGTTATGACAAAAATAACTAAATTTCTTCGTGTAGCGCTTCGTGCAAAGCCATTTTGAAAATTATCGAAAACCCCAGGGATTCTCGGTAATTACGATGCCGGATTACGTCATCGCTCAGCGTCCCGACGCGACGGAACGCCGACTGGAATAAACGTCCAGCTCAGGACTTCAGAGATAGTCTGTGTATGTCCACGTAACTGTTGTTGGATAAAGTGGCTTAAAAGTTTTAATGTTTAGCAGACTATACGAGATAGAAAATGTTGCAGATTTAATGTCTGAATAGGATTTGTAGAATTGCCAATTTATCTAGAGTTTGTTTAGGAACAATAAAAAAAGGCATATTAAATTAATAGTAAATTCAAACATAAATCAGTTTAAAAACAAAAAGAGGTACAGGCATAGCAAGACCATTGTCCATTCCAAATAATGCTAAAGCCACAAAGACACTGGTAATGCTCAACAGGAATAAAGTGCGGGTTACAACAGTTTTCCTCACAGGACATATGGCTGTCTAATGCCATCTGAACAAGCTCAGAAAGGAAGTCTGTGCTGCAGACTCTGCGATAAGGATCCTAAAAGAGCAGATCACATAATGTGCCACAGCGAGGCTCTGGATCGCAAGAGATGCTTTCTATTTGGGAAAGCAAGGTTGAAACTGTAAAGACTATGCTCCTATTGTAACAAGGACTTGTACAAGATAGTGTAGGGCAAGGATAAAGCAAGGAACAAGGGGAACACAAAAAGGAAGGCAAGGAACAAGGCAAGGAACAAGGGTAGGAACATAGGATTTGGTGTAGATATAGGAAATAAACAGGTCTCAGTGTTTTCCACATGGCTTATGTAAGTTTAAATACATACCCTTTTTGCATCGTACTCGAGAGATAACACGTTTTAATAATAATCTATCGATATATTTTCAGAAGTGTTGACATATTTAAATCAGCAAATATGCGATATATCTCGATGACATAATTATCAGATTATTTAGTACAATATGTGTACATAACATTTTTATTGTTTATGTATGGCTCTTATATATGTATTATCAAAAATTCCATTAAGGTGCTTGTACACCTTTTCACATATAAGTATAAATAAAATAGATTAAGCAATCTTATAAAATAAATATATTCCAATTGAAAGGTCCGTATATTTTTTATTGTAATGGTTTACATAAACACTTATTTTATCTAATCATTGAAAAAACTTAGATGTAAACAAAAGTTATCATACACATATAAGTAAGTGATTGAAGATGTATGCTGCTACTTCGCAAGATGAAGTTACTTGTAGCGTGTTTATATTTTATAGTAGCACTGCAACTAGGGTAAGTCACTAAATGTTTAAAATAACCTAAATTATTAAGTACAATATACCTACTACAATTAAATGGAAAAAGGTGTTTCATGCCATGAATGTCTAATGAAGACACAGTGTTATTTTGCTCTCACAATGAAATGTGAAATGTAATATAGTTAACATTCCTGTACACAAATTATAACATAGTTGTATACTTTATTTTAAAATTAGAATATTCACTCAAAAATATTATATTAAAAAAGTGACATTTTTTAATATAATATGTAACCATATAACCTAAGAAAAATGTAACAATAAATAAATACAAAGCCTTATCTCCCCCGCACATAACTGTACCCTATTTAATCCGTATTAAATAAATAAGTTTTAACATTATTTTAATTAAAGTAATTTCAAATTTCTTTAATTAAGCTGGTCATATAAATCTCAAATAATATAATTATCAAAATAGTTTTTTAGAAGTAATTGCGGAAAAATTTATATAATTGACGACATACCTACGTGAGTTATTCAAATTTTTAAAAAATATGTACCTATGGGTATGAATTTCGTTTTATCTACAGTAAATTTCCATAAATTTTGAGAATATTGTTTTCATTCTATGAAATACTTTGAGAGTCCACTTCATTCATATCTGTATTTTTTATTATTAAATAATTTAATTCAAAATACTTAAAACAGTGATAAAATAAATAAGTTCGTTTAACTTCTCCAATATTTTTAAAAAGGAATATAATACAACTTTATTAGAGATTTTTCTTAATTTTTGTTTATGCTACTTAAAATTTATAGATAAAGTTTCACAGTTTAAAAAACATTGTGAATGTGAAATTGTAATAATTTAGTATAAGATATTTTGGCAATATATTTTATTAAATTAGTATCTTATTTTGTATAGTTTTGCAGACGATGAAGAAGTAAGCAACATTGCTTTCCCTGATGGTTTTATTTGGGGATATGCTTCAGCTGCTTACCAAGTAGAAGGTGGTTGGGATGCAGATGGAAAATGTAAGTATAAAAGAATTTATTGAAGTGAAACTTTTCGTTGGGAGTAGAAATTCAAGGCCGTGACACACACCGTGATTCACAGCCGTAACGGCCGCCATCAGGTCCTAGATTACATTTTCAATATTTCTTATAAATGCAGTTCCTAGATATGTGAATGTATCTACATCCTCAAACTTGTATCATTACCCTTTCTCAGTATTTTTTAACCATTGTTTACTATACTATATTCTCCTTAATTTATAGCTGAAAGTATATGGGATTACGATGCACACAACAATCCTAGTTGGTTTCCCGAAGGACAAAATGGAGATGTAGCTTGTGATGCATACCATAAAACAGACGAGGATGTTGGTAAGTTAATTTATGAGTAGAATAGAAGTTTTTCAGTTTTAATCATCTGCTCATGATGCTAACATGGTTAGCGATACGCGCCTCCAGTACAAAAGTATAAGCGTCTTGGTATATTGTGGTGATTTAGCGTTTTATTTTACTGTTGTAACACCAATGGTAATATATTTTACTTTTAATTATACACTTTAATATTTTTTTAATAAATATCATTAAAAAATAAAGGACTACAACAAATTTCATATGTTTTAGGTCTTCTAGTACACCAAGGTGTAAAAGCCTACAGATTTTCAATCTCCTGGCCCAGAGTTTTACCAACTGGACTTATAGACAATATAAACGAACAAGGTAAACTGTTACAATCACTTTCCTACCTACATAAAGATATTGCATTTTGATTTGCACAGGAATTGCTTACTACAAAGACCTTATTACCAAACTCAAAGCCAACAATATTGAACCTATCGTTACCATGCATCATTGGGACCATCCTAGGGCACTGGAAGAACAGGGAGGATTTTTAAACGATGTAATATATTAATATTGCCTATATTAATATTACGTGAGTCTTAAATAAGTGCAAATATTTATAAGGGTAGTATATTTCAGCCCAGAAACACGATTATGAGATTCTTACAAAAAATTTAAAATTTGGAAAGTTTTTTAGTTTTAAAAAATATAATTTCTTGATAATATGGCAACATAGGTAGTAGATCAAATTTACAAGAAATAAAACCCAGAAAAAAATTCCGTAGTTCTCAAAATTTAAGCAAAAAATCATTTTTTTTTTATTTTCAAAGTAAAATAACTCGGGTATTTTGAACTTATTTGAAAACCGGTAAATAAAATGTGTTTCCTTTATCGAGATCTAACAACCCTGAAAATATTGCAATTATTTAAGACTCACTCACCCTGTATAAGTATAACTAAATAGCAAGTTTTGATCGGATATTTCTTATTTTCATGGATTTTGTAGTTCTGTATCTATGAACTATCTAAGTGAACATAATTGCATTTTTTGGTTGAAATATTTTATTCAATATTTTGATACTTAAAAAACTAAAAAACTGTGAAAATAAATTACAAAATAGTCGTATTATAGTACAGTAGCTACTACATATTATGTTATGTTATATTTATGTCTTACATTATTCTCTATCAAAGAGTATTCTTTACTTACAATATTTTAGAGTCTAATTATTCCTGCATTTGTGGATTACGCCACTCTCCTATGGGAAAGGTTTGGTGATGATGTCAAATGGTGGGCCACCTTCAATGAACCCAAACAAACTTGTGATGGAGGTTACGACACTGGTGGTTTTTCTCCTCGAAAGACTTATTCAGGCAGAGGAGGTTATATTTGCGCTCACAACGTGTTGCGAGCTCACGCCAAGGCTTATAGAGTGTACGATGAGAAGTTTAGAGCTACTCAAAATGGTGAGTTATAATATAAGTATATACAGGGTGTCACAATATTCCGTGGACATATTTATTACCTCTATACATAAGTGCTTCGTTTGTCCGTCAAACCAAACCAAACCAACAGGTATGGTAGGCTATTAAGATCGGCAAAAAAAGTTTTTTTAATTTCACACAAAAGGAGTTATTTGGGTCATAAATGACCTAAATACAAAATATTTTCTTGGTGTCTGTCTGTCTGTCTGTTTGTAACACGATAACTCAAAAACCGCTAAACCGATTTTAACCAAATTTGTCACAAAAATACTGTGCCACCCGAAAATCTGGCCATTAGTTTTTGGTGGGGGTGGGGGGTTGGTAAGGGGGTATAAGAGGGGCTTAAAAATTTTAAAAAATCGTAACTCCAAAATTACACTAGCTAGCGAAACGCTGTTTTCAATTTAAGACTAGGAATAATATTTGAAACAAAATTTGTAATAACATCAAAATCAGTCAAAGTCGCCATTTTTGAGATAATTGAAACTAAAAGAACTGCCTACCAACTTTTTATTAACATATCTTAGTATGGGCGGCTGTACGTGCCTCCCGGCACCAATTGTTTTAAGATAATTTAATAATTGATATTCCGATTTGAATAAGATTTGTGGTGCCTATGTTTTGCTATGTAAGTACTTTAATATTTGAATTTCAGAAAAATGAAGAAAATATACGGGAAGGGTGAAAACTACTCCCTCACCCTTACCTACTACCACTACTCACACTTACCTACATTTTTTTATAAATATTTTCCAACTCCACCAACGACTGATTTTTTGTCATAAAATGCTCCTCCTAGTATTTACAACATTTTTTGTCTCTTGTAAAAGCCTTATGAAGGATCATTTTTCTCAAAATGTATGTACCGGTGAGGGTATTTTTCATCCTTCCTCTAAATTTTCTTGAGACTCAAATGTTAAAGCACTTGACAAAACATAGGCACTAAATAATAATAACCATAGATTCTGAAATTATTTAAACAGGCTAATCTGGTTTCGACAGACTAAAAATAAAATAATATTTTTATAGGAAAGGTGTCAATGGTTCTTGATACGTCATGGCACGGAGCTGGTTCCAATTCTACAGAAGACCAGATAGCTGCAGAGCGTCAGCTTTTGTTCCATGTAAGTATAACGTGATGATAATAATAATAAATCTTATTATTTTTAGAAGATATAAGCATGTTGTAGCAAAAAATATTATTCTGTATCAGATTTTTTTTAAAAATATAGATATTAATTTTTAATTTTTTAAATTGTATTATATAAGTACTACATTACATAAGTAATTATAAAATTAAATGATAATGTATGCATATTTCATGTTATAGTATGGATGGTTTGCCGATCCAATTGTTTTTGGCGATTACCCAGACCTAATGAGACAACGCGTTGATGAAAGAAGCAAATTACAAAATCTGACAGAATCACGTCTTCCAACTTTTACTGATGAGGAGAAAGCTGAATTAAAAGGTATTTTTTCAATACCGATCCTTTTAACTTAATTGTAACTAGAAAAAATATCCCAACCCAAAATGTCTAAAAATAATAACACTAACTATGGCAGTATTTAATAAAAATATATTCTCTAATTTATAATAATTCAGATCAAATAAAAAATTATCCTTAGTTACACTAAAATATTTAGATATTTTGATTTACTGCAAACTAGAAGTTATATAGTAAAAAAGAACGCCATTCAATCACTGTTGGTTTCTTTGATTTCAAGTCTCATGTTATATTTTATAGGTAGTTATGATTTTCTAACAATCAATATGTACACCACTGATTTGGCCAAATGGCGTGATGACGATCCTATTGGAGAACCCAGCATATATGATGACGTTGGTGTCACAATTTACCAACCAGATGACTGGGAAAGAAGTATTTCAGACTATTTTAGGGTACGTAAGTCATTCATTTACGAGTAGTTTAGAGTTTTGCAATAATTAATATTCTAATTATAATTGAAAACTTACTCATTCTAACAGACTTTATATTAAATACTCCACTTTTCAAAATACTAAAATGAGTAACAGTAATTTTATTGGCTGTTCTATTGTCCTTACTTCTATTTTTTTTTCCTTTTTAATTTTCTTTATTTTTATTTTTTATGTTTCATATTGTATTATTTCCTTTTTAAACGGTTTTATTTAGCTCGACCCGTAAGGTATTTATTTATTTGTTTGTTTATTTGGGTCAAAATTAGAAATTGAAATTTAAGTACCTTCCTGTTGTCAGATTGATCTGAAATTTGGTACACACCTTTAGTTCCAATGACAATACAATATAGTAATATCAATAACATTGTAAATCTAAGATGGCCGCCGGTACAAAATGGCGGATTTCTACTAGTAGTTATACAGTAAGTTTTATTTCAATATCAATAACATTTGTAAATTTAGCATCGTTGTGTTCTAAAACGAAAAATAATTCCTTTTAGTGAACAAAATAATGTTTTGAATACTAAAAAAAACACAGCTACTAAAAATAAACTTGTGAAATGAGTACCTAATAAAATACATACAGGTGGCCCATTAATATTTTGTCCTTGGTGTTTAGGAAAATATACAGGGTGTCTCAGAAATAAGTGCAAGTATTTTAACTGGTAGTATATTTCCGCCTCAGAAACACGCCTATGAAGTGTTTTTGCGATTTTTTTTTATTTGAATTTTTTTAAAAATTTAATTTTTTTTAGTTTTAAGTTAGAAAACATAACTTCTTGATAATATGGCAACATAGGTAGTCGATTAAACTTACATGAAAGAAAATCCAGAAAATATCCAGTGGTTCTCAAAATTTAAGCAAAAAAGCATTTTTTGTTTAAATTTTGAAAGTAAAATTACTCGGTTATTTTGGACTTACTTGAAAAACGGTAAAGAGTAAAAACGTTTCTTTTGACCAGATCTACCACCCCTTAAAATAATTGCACTTATTTCTGGGACACTCTGTAAACACATACTCTGTATACATAAGCTGCATATAGCTAAGTATTAATATAGTTAAATTCACTAGGTTTTAACCACTTTTCAAATATACTGATATACTGATTATCAAAGTTTTAGTAACGACGATATTGGACTCGATAATGGTTCGCCCTGTATATAGATGAGTACCTACAATGTGTTCAATTTCATGTTTCAGGTTGTTCCATGGGGTGCTCGTGCTTTGGTCGTATGGATCAAGAACAGGTACGGAGATGATAAAGGAATCTTAGTTACCGAAAACGGTTACCATGATGACGGCAACAATTTAACCGACTTGGACACCAGAGGTCGTTTCCACAAGGTAAATAGTAATGTCACTAGACATTATAGAGTAATGCAATTGAAGGGTCCAGGGGAAAAACTTGATGAGCGCCAAATTCTTAATTTTAAAATAACTACGGTCGTATTAATTCAACCTTATGTATGTATATTATTTAAAAAATCAAAACACAAATAAAATTAATTGCTTTTCAACGATATATCATGTTCCTATACCTAAACCTTCTGGCTTCTTCAGTAAAGCCATTTAAAATATAATATTTCTATTATAACTGTTCCATTACAAAAATTTCGTTATCACGACAATTTTCGAAATTTAGCAAATCCAATTGATACTTAAAAGGTCTGGTCTAAAGTTTGAATCTTTGTCATGGCAACGATTTTCTTTAAACAAGACAATTATAACAGAATTATTATCTTAAATGACTTTACTGGAGAAACCAGAAGGTTTAGGTATAGGAATATGATATATCGTTGAAAATCAATTTTATGTTTCGAATTTTTATATAATATAAATAGGCTTAATAGATTAATAGAAAATAGAGGTAATAATTGCGGTATTCAATATGTTATCTATTGTATCACAATTAAATTAAAAACAATAACAGTTTTATTAGATATAGTAGGTATGGTATCGTATGGTATATGGTATTGTATCAAAATTAAATTAAAAACAATAACAGTTTCATTAGATATAGAAAGAAATACATATTTTAAGGACTTAAATCATCCTTCTGTGTGTGTACAGGGTCCGGCAATAGAGCGTCGGGCATCTGTAGCTCCTAAAATAAAAAACTTGGGAATTTTGTTTAAGTGCGAACCGAAAGTATGTACTAGGATGTATTTCAGGAAAATATTTTAACTTCTATAGAGTTGCTCAAAAAAGTGTGAGTGGATCGGGATAATTTTTTTTAAATGGAACACCCTGTATATTATTGCATTTTTTTGGCTTCCTTTTAGATCACTTTACATAATCCTAAGACATGAGTAAATATATTTCGATAATTTCAGAGATATTAATAAATAAATAAAAATTATAGATTTTTCAGCTTTTCTTAAAAAAAATATTAATAATACAAGAACTGTCCTGAAATCAAAACTATATTAGATATTTACTTTAGATGGTCTGTACTTACTTTGCTATAAATATGGAAATCGTAAATCATACAGGATGTTCAAAATTCTACGCCAAACTTTCTAAAATATAAAATAATTTTTCGTTGTTTTTTTTTAAATGGAACACCCTGTATATTATTTTTTCAATAGATGGAGAATTAAAAATTGAACATTTTTTGTATAACAAATGAACATTTTTTGTATCTAGAGTATTTCCAAATTTTTAACAGTTTCGCAGATATTCCTGGTTTTGTATTTCATATGGCGTTTTCCACAGTAAATTTTTATCAAAGCCACCCAATGATTTTTCTCTCGTATTTTACCATTAAAAGCGCCATATGAAATAATACTGCGTGTTCACAAAAATACTGCGTGTTACAATAAATGGTAATTTCGGTTATAATATAAATAGTGATAGTAATTTTTTAGCCTATGCAATCTTGCTTAATTGTTTAAATGACTTTTGGATTTTAGTTATATCTGAGCAACTTGAATGACGCTATATATATAGACGGAGTAAATTTGACTGGTTACATGGCATGGAGTCTGATGAATGACGTGGAATGGTACGCCGGTTGGTTGTAAGTACTATATATATTTAAATAAAAAACGGTAACTTTACTTTTGAATGTTAAATTGAAACTATTGCAAATACTCTACTAGTAAAATAATTTTTAACAATTGTTTTTTGTTTTTTAGGGTCAATCTTGGTCATTACCATGTTGATTTTGACAGTGATAACAGAACAAGAACTCCAAAAGCATCGGCAGAGTATTATAGAAAAGTCGTAACAACAAACTGTCTTGTAGACAGTTGTACAGCATCACCAATAAAATTAAACTTAAATTAAATTTGTATAGGAAGATCAGTAAAAGTTAAAAAAGTATATTATGGATGTAAAAAACTATTAAAAATATGGCTGCCTGCAGCATTTTTATCATACTTTTACGAAAGACATCTAACTAAAGGGTAGACACAACACTCCATTCATAAAATTCTATTTGTTTACAATCATACATACTTTAACGTTTAAAGTTAAAAAGAGATGGGTGTCCAAAATCCATCTGTCCAAAAATTCTCGGATAAATACACCCATGAACAAAAACTTTTGCCTTCTGCAAACAGAATTTTATGATATTTATTCCGTCTACACAGGATTCTAACACTACAAACTTCAAGTAACTTTTATATTAAACGGCAATAGAAGTGCCGGGCACGTAGGACCAGAGCTCTCTCAGATATTTACTTAATGCCAGGGTTGGGTTAGTACTAAATTAAAACTTTATTACACAATATACTACAGTAATAAATAAACACTACATGTTACGAGAATAGTGCTTCTCACGGAACTATTTCACCTTTCGACGTTGGACTTCTAAGGAAGATACTCTGTTACTGAAAATTTGGACTTCCATTGTCTTCATTTATTTTGATTATCACATTTCGGTCAGAAGGATCAATGACAGTTATCAACTGTAAACTAAACTAATTCCTAAAACTACTGAGCTTTTATAGGGCGGTCAGGCTATAAAATTGGGTGCAGTCAACCGTAAGGCTGTCCCCATAGAATGAATGCATTGGAGCGTTTTATCAGTGGTTGCCATATCGTAGGTATTTCGGTACTAGGATTGCAAAAATGTTATTATTATTTGCTTTAAAAACGGCTTCTTCAAATTTACAGTTTGTCCAACGAGGTTCCCTGTGCACAACCCGAGCTTCCGATTACTTTATATTGTGCTGTTTTGGACACAAATGGTCCGCTGTACCTACCTGATTTCATTGTTTACACGCACAAAAAACATGTACAAAATACATGTTTTTTGTGCTCGCTAAGTCGTACATTTAGAGAACGTTTAATCTCTCCAATATACGACTCGCCGCATTCACAAGATAGCTGGTAGAAGCACTCTTTTTCTTGTTTCGATTTTTCCGGCCTTGTTTGTATTACGACGCTTCTTAGAGTCGATCCATCAAAAAGAAAATTCCACTTCTCCAACTCCCAGTGGATGACATACCAAGAATTTACAATTTTGAAAAACATCTCACTGTAGTATTGAGTAATAAAAAAGACTGGAAGGAAGAAGCGCTTACTCAGCATATAAAAGAACATACCATAACGTGGTATACTGATGCTTCAAAAACCAAAGCAGGGACAAGAATAGGGGTATTTGGGCCGAAAACTAAATACTCCGAACCAATAGGCACCTACCCCAGTATCCTTCAGGCAGAAATTTACGCTATCGAAAGATGCGTACAATTTATCTTAGATAGGAACTATCGTAATCAGAAAATTGCCATTCTATCCGATAGTCAAACAGCACTTAACGCGATCAACTCAGTAACCATCAATTCGAAGTTGGTCAAAGAATGCCTAGAGAAGCTCAACAAATTAGGCAAAGGAAATAAAGTCCTCCTACTCTGGGTGCCTGCTCACCAAGAGCTAGAAGGCAATGAAAAAGCAAATGATCTAGCTAGGAAAGGAGCGAACACTCCACTAACTGGACCAGAACCGTCCTGTTGCAAACTGAAGAATCTGGAAGACTCCATCCGTAACTTGGAATTGGCATCCTCCAACGGTCTAAGACACTCGAAAGAGTTCCTCAGAACCGAGAAAAATCAAAGGTTTTCCTTGATTTAAGTAAAAATAATCTTCGGATTGTCACGGAGTTTCTAACAGGACACTGTCTCCTCAACGAACACCTCAGTAGGCTGAAGCTGAGAGATAACGGCGAATGCAGATTCTTTGGGGAAAACGGAGAAACACCAGAACACCTTATCACTGAGTGCGCCGAGGATGGAGAGCTGGCCTCTGTGGAGCCGTCTCAGATACTGGCTTTCGTTAAAGCCCTGAGACTGTATAATGAGTTATAACTCGCTATAACTTAAGAAAGGGGAACACACAATAAATCTGTAAGGTCGCGGTGATTAACTCCTCTCCTAAACATTCTACATTCTAGAGTCGATCCAGACTTAAAAACAGTTTAAGTGTTTATATATTTGCCTGATTTTTTCTGACGTTCCTTTTACATATGGAATAGTCAAGAGGCATTCTCCTCAGGTCGATGAACCAATGAGCCAGTTTAAACTGACTCATTGGTTCAATGTAAATAAAATAGAGAAATAAAACAGTCTGTATTAACTATAACAATAACAACTAAACTGGTCTAAGAGCTAAACCTTCCCTTTTATTCTGTATTTTTATTCAAAAATTTCTAGTAAATACCCAACCCTGAGTTAATACACAGTTTTTAATGTGAATCCCACGAGGAGCCACTTCGAAAAATATCGAGACTATATTATTAAAGGTTTTTCCAGAGCCTAAAAAGTTTTTATTACTTTGGCCGCCCGTCGGAACGAACGGTGATCCTTGTTATATCTCTTGTAATGAGTTTATTTCGGAGTTCTTTATATGAGTTTCACGAAATTATTAATAGGTTCAAGTACGTGACGTACTCGCTTTAATTAGTATTGATTATTAAAATAAATATATTTAAGTCCATTTAGTAGTCCTAAAACTTTTTTTATATTTTCAAAATTATAATTTATATTCTCGCTAAGATATAATGAGTCTTCTGATTTAAATAGTTTTAGGTTTAAAATTTTAATAGCAATAATTTGTTTTATTATGTTTCTATTATAAATCATGCTCTAGTGCAGATTGTATCTGTCAAGAAATAAATTATTGGTTAATGTCAGCTTGACATCGTCCACCCATCTAAACCCCAAAATTATAGTTGAGCAGTTCTAAAATGACCCAGAAATTCTCTATCAAACAAATGCTGCAATATAAGAACGATGCGCCAAGTTTTATTATGGATTATTAGAGTAATTGGAGCTTTAGCTTTTGGAACTTACTTATTTGACATGTATTGTGCCTGGATTTTCCTTGCCGATTATACGTTTATGCGAAAATTGATCAATCTTCAGAGAAGAAGGAATGGTACCTTACACCACTAGTATAATTACATAAAAATGGAAAAATAATAACGTATCGTTGTTAACGAGGATATAATAAGTATGTGTATAGTAAATAAATACTAGTCAATTTTGTACAATTCTTTTATTTCAAATATGTAAAAAAATTTCATTCATTTGACACATTTGAATTTGATTTGAAATTGTTTTTTATGAAAAAAAATGTTTATGTTATTTATTATTTATTCTTCTATTGGTAGTTGTTTAAAGGTAGTAAATCTAGAAGGAAATTGTAACAGAACTTAAATTAACAGTGACACTATTGCGATTTATCAAAAAAATCTCTGTCAAAAATCGAGGGAAATAATGGAATAATTTTTCGCTAGTAAGTGACTATATAATATACATACGTGTAGTAAACCGATCATTTATGAAACTCAATTAAAATTAACTAATTATATATTTTTTCTTGTATTTTTGCCTTTATTTACTACTTGTATAAAATTAGATGTTAAAGAATTTAGATACGTCAGTTTGACGTACCTGCTTCATCGGATGTTTGTGTTAATAAAATATTATTATAACTTATCTATTTTTATTAGAATTGTATATTTTTATAACAATTTTAATAACTACCAACATTTATTTACAACGGAAAGTAAAACAACACATGATTGAGTCCACCCTACATCATATTTTTACACGATTTGAATAAAATTAGGACGGCAATGATAAACCGGAATTTAAGTCGGCCATTTTAGGCGCCCGTCGCGTTCGATCTAAGATTTTTTTATATATGCTCCTTTCTTAAAGGTGGCTACACACACTACTGCAAGCTTGACAAGCATGCATGAACAATCTTTTTGTACAAGCATGCATAATTTACCTTCGCCGACACACGGTACATGCATACCTGAACAAGCTTCAATTTATGCCGCGAAAAAGAAGAAGGAAGTCCGAAAAAAAGAAGAAGGATGTCCGCGAAAAAGAAGAAGAAATCCTGAAGGCATTTATCTTTTTAATAACGGCATCTTTATCGGCTTGGCTGTCAATTAATCTATACTTATTAAGTAAAATGTCGTATGTTGCATCCTTCTTCACCCTATCATGATATTCTGGTGATTTAATTCGGCAAAGACACGGCTGGTTTTCGTATGCGCCAATAATCATCGATTGCTCTTTTTCAGATCGCTAGACATAATGGCGACGCGACGTACAGGTCATTTACGATTACGGACTCTCGCTCGCGCAAGCATGGCTTGTTCAAGCTTGCATGATTCAAATTCAATCAATCATCAAGCAGCTTGCACAATTAAAATGCTTGCGCAAATGTTCTCTACAGACGCTACAGTTTGGTTGTACAAAAAAATTGTTCATGCATGCTTGTCAAGCTTGCAGTAGTGTGTGTAGCCACCTTAATATTTTTATTTAAAGTTTTCTGCTATGCGTTCCAATTATTGTACCAACTTATTTCTTTGTAAAATAAAATAAACTTTAAAAATTACAGTTGAGGGTTGAGTAGGAACAAAGAACTTGAAGGAATTGGACCGTTGTCTCTGTTCATACTATCTTTACATATTTTAATTCTGATGCTTTCATATGCATCTAATTGCCTGTAATTTGAGACTTGTTTAAGTAATTTTAAGTTATTAAGATCTATACAATGTAATGGATATTCTCCTTTACTAGTTGATAAAATAATTAGAAAACGTAGGTATAGGTTAATGATTTCTGAAAATTCGACTTTTCAAGTGGAGAAAGATACGTCAAAATATTTTTCAATACTCTTTGATAGACAGTTATCCCGTGGTATAAAAGGAATTTTTAAGAATGTCAATTAGAAACTTGTGTATAGTGCTAATAATAAATTACAACAATTATTAGGTAATCCAAAGGATAAAACACCTCTATTGGAAAGGTCGGGTATTTATGAAATTTCTTGTAAAGATTGTAATCAGAAATATGTTGGGCAAACTAGAAGATCAATATTAACTAGATTTAAAGAACATTTAGCTCAGATAAGATAT